TGTACACCAAATATTTCTTGGGTGAATTTCTGAGCTATTGTCTGTCATTGATTTGACTAGAAAAACATCTAAATCAGTTTTAAACTGTACTTTTTTTCGATTCAAAATTTTTAAATAGTTTACTTTTTCTTTGAATTAATTGACAATATTAAAATTAAAAAAATTTTGATTCTAGATAATTTTAACATCGACGAATAGAAAGTAGAGATTTTTTTCTAAACTCTCGGAAACAAGTAGTATGTGGAATTTTTTTTTATTTTTTTCATTTAAGCTTGTTATTATATAAAGCACGTACAACATGAAACAGATAATTATAATTTTCCTTGTAAAGTTCTCCTTGTACGCTAATTAAATTTTCATTACGTGGCATATGCTGAATACGAAGAGTCTTCATTCGGGAATTATTCAGGCCTCTATCCTGTTTATTTACAGATTTAACTTTTAATGAGTTTTAAAAAAAAACTTGTAATTTTTATTATTACGTTTTTTTTTGCCGTTAATACGCGCATTTCAATAAATATTTGATAATGTTTGGTAAAATAAATCTCAAAAATTGATATAGGTTCAACTAAAGCAATATCCTGTATAATTGCCGCTAGATGTGATGTACCGCAACGAAATTGCAAACTTTCGAGACGACGATCGCTTCCCTACCAGTGATTTCAGAATATTGAAACTTCAGTTTATCAACAGCCAATCCGAATCGAAAGATAAATTATGCAAGTGACCTGGAAAATATTTTTCTGGTTTCAGGAATTATATATAGAAATGTTTGAAAACAAAATTGCTTTAATAAAGAGAAAAAAATTTATGCCTTGATTAAATAAATAATTAATTAAAAGAAGAATTATTAAATTATAATTATATAAAAAATTTGTATACTACGGTTGAATAATGAATAAAAGGGAAATTACCCTTTGATCATCATTCACTATTTATTATTATCGTCTGAACGAACAAAATAAATTGAAATTTAAAATGCAGAAATAATTAATGCTAATCAAGTTATTAAAAAATTTATAATAATCAATATTACAAATTAATGTTTAAATGAAAAATTTCTTTAAATTATTATTAACGTTTAAAGAGACAAATAAAAATAAAAAAAGAATTTTAACAAAGCATAATAATATTAGCCAAGCTACATCAAATTTCTCCTATGTTAAATTTCAGATATCGATTTTCGATATTGGGCAACATCCTTTGTATGTGTGGAAGAATTGACATTCCTGCATTATTGAGACGGCAAACGATATGGACATTCAATATTGGCATCGAATCTTAAAAAATACATCTCATAGTGAGTACTTTTTGGATTTATAACATATCAATCAAGTAAGATCTAATAAAATAAAGTTCAAAAATTAATTACTATGTATAAATTGTGATATTAATTATTATACTTATTTTCATAGGATTTTAATTGATCTTAATGATAGATTTTGAATTTTAAAAAATTAATACTTTTTTTCCAATCAGTTTTGTATAAGAAAGATATAAAATATCCGGTAAAAAAATTTTTAAGAGTAAATGTGGATTGATTCACATCAATTGAACGATTTCAATTTCCGGTTTGCTTTGGTGTCGACGACAGGAGCCGGAAATCTCATGAGAGGAAAGCAATGGCACGAGAAGGTAAAATTTGTTCACTTTCCTTGGAATGGGAAAATGTTGCCTTTGTTGTTTATCGAAACAGGACGAGCCATAGTAATGTTTTTCCTTGCCTTTTTTGTATTATTTATTTTGTGTTTTTTTTTACATTTTTTTTTTAAATGCGTTTATTCATCAACGTGAAAGCACAAAAAATTCCTGTAGTCACTGACTAATTTGAAAATTCCCTGCAGCCCCATTGAAAATTTACGTCGTTTACATTCGATTGGATACTCTGTCTTTCTCTCACGATGAAACGCGTTGGCGAAAACATTTTTTATTTTATTTTTTCTAATTTATAGAAAAAACAACTATACAAAATAAAAAAAAATTTCAATATACACACTACCGCAACAAAATGTGTTTTATGAAAAATAAAAATAAATACTTTATTTTAATTGCATTCAAAAGATTTAAAAATTTTAAGAATTCTTGGGTGAACTTCTGAGCTATTGTAATTTCATATTATTAATTTAGATATTTAACAAAAAATTGTTTGTTAATAAAAAGTGGAAACAAAAGTTTCCCTCTAAGTGCATTACTTGGTAAGTTATTAATTAATATTCGCTTTTTACTCTCTTCCCTTCTTGGATAAACTTCTGAGATATTGTATTTAATTATTATAAAAACTGACTTTTATCGTGATCACTTTACAGTAACAATAAATTTAAAAAAAAATAAAATACGTTAAAATCTATCAGCATTTTTTTATTTAAAATTTTTTTTATTAAACACATAGTTCTTGAAATTTATGAATTTTTTCTAATAATAGTAATTAAATATATTTATTAACAACTTTCTCTAAAAAAATTTACTTTAAGTATATTCATATTTATCAAGATATTACGAATTTGCCGAGAGAATTTTTGAAATAGAGGAAAATATTTTATTGCTACTTATGACATGGGTTATGAATTTCAAGCAGCTACTTTACAAGTTACAAGAGAAACTCATATCGGAGAAACTGAGTGGATAAAATATTTTCAAACCAAAGCAATTTAATGTAAATATTTTTATTTATTTTAAATAAAATTGAATTAGAGTTTCTGTTGTATTATAGTTAAACAAACCATTTTATAATTTTTTTTTAAATAAAAATTTTATTATTAAATAAACTTCTGTTCTATTGTGATTAAAATATTTCAAAATATTCATTTGCATTTAATTTTTAATAGTACGAACATTCATAAAGTAAGCATCATTATTTTCTCATCAATATTTTTTCATATTTGTGAGAACAACAGCATAAATAAAAAAAAAAAAAACGTTAATTGAAGAGAAAGAGAAGAAATATGTTGAGCTGCAATATTACGTTCCAAGCTTAATACAAGCAGATCATAAATTCAGAGAGCACATTTGGAATCTCATAATGAAAACGAGAGACAAGACGATCTCGCTTTTTTTATTTGCTCAACTCTAATATCACTACAATGAATAGCTCCCTAATCAACTTTTATCGTCACTTGACAATTTAATACAAAACAGAAAATTTAACTGGTAACACACTAATAAAATAATTGAATTATTTATTTTTTCTCGCGAAAATAATTTGCTTCTACTCATGAATTTATATTAATTATTGTTAATGGGAAAAATAAGTAGATTTAGAAATAAAATGAATAAAAGAAAAATTTAAAAAAAATAAAAATGAAAATAAAGAATTTTAAAAAAATGTACTCGTTTTAAAATGAGAAAAGAGGAGATAAAAAAAAATGTGAAAAATGGAAGCGTATAATTGCAATGAACCTCGTCTATTCAGATAGTGCATATATTTTCTCATCTGCATGCATTCAAAAATATGTACAAATTAAACGTAAAGAGTAGTTGGTTGGTGCAAAACATTAATTAAACTCTCGAGTTAAATAATATGGTCCTGATCCTTGGTCATTTATCTTAGCGGGAGTTCCGCAGTGCCCGTACTACCACCTAGTTATATCAGTTATAGTTACTTGTGAAGATAACCAACACCGGATTAAGCAATTAAGGATCCAAGACAATCGATCATGCTGTTAGAAACATAACTGCTTCTCGACGCTTTCTTAGAATACAAAAATATTACTAAGGTTACTGTCAACTATTGTGATATTAATGGAAATCTTTTAAATTTATTATTATTATTATCAAAGGAGTAATAAAAATATCTAAATCTTTATCGAGTGAGTTTGCCTCTATTAATATTGTTTATTGACTAAAACTTCTTGGGCGAACTTCTGAGCTATTGTGATTATTATTTTTTTTAATAAACTGCAAATTTTATTTTATTAAACTTTACTTTTTACTCCATATTCTTTTTGGGAGAAAATGTAGCATTTTTATATTTTTAAAAACATTTATTATACGAAATAGAAATAACAAATTTCATGTTACGTAAAAACATTCTAATAAATAATTCAGTACATCAAATATTTAATTCCCCTTGAAATCTTGTTTATTTGTCGCATAATCCAATCATAAATCTGACATTCAAACTTTTCATATAATTGGAAAAAATGTCTTTCTTGAGATCCAATCCACTTACGAGATGTAGAATAATTTAAACCAAGAACAATCTTTTATTTCCTTTCATTGGATTTATTAGATAAATAAAATTATTATTCACATACACCAAAATTTGCTACCGTTATTTAAAAATATGATTTACTATTAATTAACCTATTATTAATCGTATTAAGAGAAATAGAAATAAATTATTTTAACAAAATATCATTTAGAAGAAAGTTTTCACATAAAGAAACGAATTTGTAATAAAACTAGAAAATAATAGAAGCAAAATTATGACGTCGACAATTATACGAGACCCTCTCTCTCTCTCATGAGATCTTGTTGCGGAGCTACTTAACGTCACTGTTTACTTCCGTTCTGTCGTCTCGACTAGGGTGTCACAATTTATGAGACGACCCTGCGAAACGGCGGCATCCTAGAAAAGCTTGGATTTCCTGTGAATCCTGAAATTCAAGTCCCAGCTGTGTCAGCTGTTTTCGTAAAGCTGGAAGAGTTCCAACTAAATTTTCAGAATCGGCTCGAGACCATAAGCCTGACGCCCACTTGGGTCGGTGTTAATACAGTTTTTTTATCCCCCAGAACATTTGACACCTTTCTTACGATGTGACGACAAAAAAACTTTCAGGTGTAAAGTTTATTTTACGATTTTTTTCAAACTTTAACACTACTAAAGTAGAATTATTTTACGAGAAGTTTAAAATAGATTCATTAAAAGAAAGTTTAATTATACGGTGATAATTTTTTTTTTTTATTAACAAAAATGTAATTTAAATATTGAAACAAAAAAGAATACCTGCACTTTTGAAAATTCTTTTTTAATTTAATTAAGAATTGTAATTTTAACTTACCAGCAGTGTCAATGAGGTCCGTGTCGAGATTATTGAAGCCACAGCGACTGAGGAAGAGGAGTGACAGCAATGAGAGCGAACAGACAAGGACCAGCAGCCTCGACAACAGTCGAACTCCCAGCACGCGCAACATTATGTCCCTGCGTCGCCTGCAATCAGAGAACATGTGCCCTTCTGGGTAAACACGATCACATTTACATAGAAAGTACATTGTTGTCTTATAATCTTACAATTGCAACCAATTACATCGAGAACAAAAATTCTTGGGTGAAGTTCTGAGCTATTGTATTTAATCAATTGACTAAAAGATTATGGTAAAATGTGACTCAAGTCTGCAGTCATTTTTCGAAGTGCTGTAATTTTGTTTGGTAGTGCTTCTTTATCGAGTGTACTCCAAAATATTTTTTGGTGAACATCTGAGCTAATATTTATAGATTGTAAAATTCTGACTCATTGTTAAAATCGAGTGTAGTTTTAAAATTTTCTTAGGTGAATTTCTGAGCTATTGTGTTTAATCGATTGACTAAAAGATTATGGTAAAATGTGACTCAAATCTGCTGTCATTTTGCAGAGTGCTGTAATTTTGTTTGGAAGTGCTTCTTTATCGAGTGTACTCCAAAATATTTTTTGGTGAACATCTGAGCTAATATTTATAGATTGTAAAATTCTGACTCATTGTTAAAATCGAGTGTAGTTTTAAAATTTTCTTAGGTTAATTTCTGAGCTATTGTGTTTAATTAAAATAAGTAGATTGGAAATTACGATTCGTTGCTAAAATCAATTGTACTTCCAAAATATTTTTTTGGTGAACATCTGAGCTAACGGTTTTAATTAATATTTATAAATTAAAAAATTACTACGCATTGCTAACATCGAGTTTACTTTTAAAGTTTTCTTGGATGAATTTCTGAGCTATTGTGTTTAATTAATATTAATAATTTACCCATTTAATAAAAACTAACGCAAATTGTGATCAATCAGATTTAATGTAATTTTCTCTATTAAAGTCGTTAACATCACCAGCAAATTATAACATAAATGAAATTTTTTATTTTTGAAAGTATTTCTACTAGTTTTCTTTATTTCACTGCACATATATATATACTTTTAGATGTAATAATGTTTGGCAAGGATACAGTGTGTGTAGGACAGATCTAAAAGACACTTGATGGCACATGACAAAATAGGATTTCTCAAGTACCTAATGCACTTCCATCCATGAAGAGACATGAGAATTGAATCTACAGTCTTGAGAATGTAGCTCGCGTTCCAAGAGAGCAATGACCGATAGCGAAAGAGGATAGAGAAGTTAGTTAGCTACTGTACATAGATCGTGGTCTGTGAAGTGAAGCTCATCAGAATGGATTCCTTACAAGATCAGGGCCAAAAGCACGTGATCCAGCATGCTACTAGAAGACTTCAGACGGAATGATTGATTTAGATGGTGAGGACCACTTTTGGCTTCTAGCCAATCTTTCTCATCGTCCTGTTGTTTGTTTTCAACCTAAGGAAAGGTAAATCTCAAACATACAAAATTTAAAGAAATATATATATAAGTAATTTATATAAATTCAAAGTAATTGCTCTCAATTGATTTGAAATGATTTTTGAAAATGTTCCAATAAGTGTAGTTAAAAATAACTTTTAATTGAATATATATATATCGTTACTGCTGAATACTCTTTTGAAAAAGTTTCAATTGGCAGCTGCCAATTACCCTATAGAGTGCAATCGATCGAATGTGAAAAATTCCAAGAAAATTGAAACGGAAGTGAGTTGAGAAAAGTAAAGAAACCAGGCAGTAGTAGAGAGAAGAAAATAAAAAGCAACGGATGGAGGGGTAGAATGAGAAGAAAAAGAAAAATATCTTGACCTGAGGGAAAAGGAATGGTGGATGGAGGTTGGGAGGATTCAAAAGGCCGAAGCGGATCGGAGATAAACACCCTCGGGAAATCGTCTGGACACGCTTGAACTCCAGGTTGATAACGGGCATCATTTCTGAAAATTGCCGTCACACCTGTAGACACACAACACTCTTATACAATGCCACTGAATTCTGATGCAAGTAATACTATAAGCTTCAAGAAAAACTTGAAGCTTTTAAGATATCTATAGTTGTTCATTGAATTTTAAAGATCACTATATTATATGTGACATAATAACAGTATATATTATGAATTAGACTAATTGCTTAAATATATTTAAAAATATATTTTTTGATATTTCTACCTAATTTTAGTAGTAAAGAATCTTTATCTACTTGAACGTTTATGTGACTGAGACAAGAGTAGATATATGCATTCGCTTGAATGAATAATTCATTATATCCGGCGCACATATTCAAAGGGTGCAACGATCTTTAGACAAGTCGTTACGCTCGATTTCACAAAATTCTGCCCACAATCGTTGAAATGGTACTCATCGATTGAAATATGTTTCCATAAATTAGGAAATATTTCGGTAAATTTGAAACATAAAATTTTAGTGTTGTAAAAGTTCTTAATGTTAATTTTGTACTTTTAATTTTCTTTCAATTTTATAAGATTATTTCATGAATATTCTCTTTATCTAACAATAAAAATTGAAGTTTAAAATAAAATATTAACATTGTAAACAGTAAAATGGATGCTATCCATTCTAAGAGTAATATGGACGGTAAATTTTGAGAAAGTGGTCAAGTAGCCGACCTCAGAGGAAAACAAGAAGAGCGAATGTGGGAAATAATTCTTCCAAGGAAAACAAGAAACAGTTTGTTGAATAGTTAGTGAATAGTAGATTTAGTGGTTTGTTTTAGTATTTTATAAAATGTAAATTTTACTTCTTTTTTCATTTTAATTTTTTTCCAAGTGTTTTTAAATCAAGATCAATTCTATAACCACCATAACAGCATCTGCTTAACAATATTAATGTACACACATTTTGACAGTCATGAAATTAATAGTCCTCAAGGTGGATTCTAAGCCAGTAATAATTGTGTAATTGCCCCAATTACTCTGCATAATTGCCAGATTTACATATCAAACGTTAGCCTCTCTGAATTGTATACTGAGGTTATCGAGGCTAATTCGAAGTAGAGTCATAAGTCATTTTCTTAGTTGTTGATATACACCCAACCTGGTAAACAATATTCATTAAACAAAAGTATTGTAATTGACGCTCACACATGTTTTGACGTTTTGTTTTAAATATCTGACATTAGATATTGGATGTCGATCTACATTGATGACAGATCCATTTAAAAATGTTATGTAAATCTCATACATATTGGGACTTCAAAGCTGATGCAGTTTTTTTTTTTGAGATTCAAATCGAATTTTCAAAAATTGGCAAACGACTCACGTAGGAAACGCCATGACACGTTTGAAGCCGCCAGAAGGATATGAAAAAGTTGGAGTACAGGTGTGCACACGTGCTTTTACGTGCAGTTCTCTAAGATCGAAAGCATCACGTTTCGCATATGTTATATAAAAACTGTAGGAGACATTGGACTACCAAAACCCACCTGCTGTCATCTGCAAACCACCCACAGAATCCCGTCTGTCTCACATCTTTCACAAGAACATTTTGACAACACATGGGGTGTACAATCAAGGCAAAATCATATTTACAAAAATTTTATCATAATTTTCTTCATTCTTATAAAATATTATTAACTATATATCTTTTTTTCTACATGAAACCAAAAATAATTTACAAAATGTCTTCAAGTAATTTAACACATTGGCAGCCAATATCGTCTTTGGAGATAATGTTCTTTCTGGAATTCAGCCCAGAGAGAAATCGACATTCTTTATAATCGATAACAGATTACACATTGAAAACAACATGAAACATCTACTACTCAATAAAACAGAGGGGTAAATATATATCGAAAGCACGTAAAGCTGTCTTCGTAAATTTTCTACCTCGAGAATTCTCCAAAACAAGTAAAAGGAAGAAGAGAGCAAAAGAGAGTAACGTGCCGAAATGTCATGTCGTTTCTACTAGGGCGATTAAGTACTTAAGTAGATACTCTCTACCTGTACGAAATTGTCGTCGTAACTTGATTGTTGACTTGCTTCCCCATCTAGAGAACGGAAATTAACAACAAAAAGGAATTTTCTCTAGTCATCTAATTACAACAGCAATTTGCATTGAAATGAATTTAAGCTCCATTCCTATTTAAATGACTATCCAATTACTTAATTTCCCGAAAAATTCTTTCTACTTTTACAGTATTGTACTTTTTCAAACAATATAAGCGTAAAAAAAATAAGCGGAAAATTTTTCTTCAACTATTTTATAAATGAAATAAAAAAAAATTAGATTTTAAAAAAAAAACGCAATTAGATAATCGTTGTCGTAAAAGTGGGGCACGAAACTTGAGAGAAGATGACGCGCAGTAAAAGTGAGATAAAAAGGAGAAATGACTCAAAAAAAAAGGAAGGATACATATAGCTTAAGAAGTGAGAAACGAGCCTCGACATAAAGTATTAAGGTGCTATTTTGAGCAAACCTTCCTCTTATAAAATACCCCAAGTGTAATGCTCTTTGCGCTGTATATGGAATGGGAATACCCTCTTCCTTTTGCTACTACTCTCACTCCTATCTTGGCTCACTTTACAAATACCGTCGAGTCCTGGGGTCGTGTCACGCTTTCGTGCTTTCTACCCCGTGAGAATCCCTGCTTTCTGTCGTCGAGTTCCCTTGGTGAATGAACTTCTCAAGAAGTATGCCAAAAGAAAAAAAACAATTGGTCATCATCTGAAATATTTTATAGTTAAACAAATTAGATAAACAATATTAGTTTCCTTACAGCTTAGTTTTTGAAACATCTGATCCTAATCATAATCATAAATCTCCCATAGACGTTCTACAAATATCTAAAACATCAAAACCTGTCAGATGTCATCATATGATTTCAAACGAATATCCGAACTTTCAAAAGTCAACTGATAAATAACAATTTTCACATTGTAAATAGAATATTGTATACTGCTATGAACAGTCAAAAACATAACTGACAATTTATTGCGAACTTTAAAAACTCTGACAATCAATTCAGCAATTTAACTAAACTCCGAAAATTTTCGACGTAATTCTCGTTGGTGCTTTTCCTTTGTACAACTTGGTGGCAAATCGCATTTACTCGTTCTCGCGTGAGTCCTAGAATTCACCGAGTTTCGAAATCGCTAATGAAGGTAAACCTAGGTGCGACTGCAAACTGCCAACGTTCTTCACTGTTTACACTGCACCTTCGTTAACTTTTCAACTGGACTTTAGTGCAATAATTTTTTCCTACTAATTACATTTTAAAAGAGAAATTATTTTCCCAAACAACGAATAATTAACAATTCTCATCTTATTTATTTTTTCTTATCAGTTGTGAATTTTAATAAAAAAATCTTTTATAGATTTTTTTATACTTCTATTTTATTTGCCTGTTACCTAATTCATTGAATGCTTTATATTTTATCACAACAGTTTCTTAAAAGAAATATAAAAACATGATATATTCCTTTAACAAAAAAAAAAAAGAGGAAAAGTAAAAGGCTTCTATTTTACGTAAAAAGCTTTTACAAATGCAAAGCACACGTAATAAGTTTGTGAGCACAAAAGTCTTTGTGGATGTTTAAGCGTCTTAGAACTTTTCTTGGGGTAAAGGAAAAAGAAGGTATAGAAAATCACGGAAGAAATGAAAGTGTCACTAAAGTCAACCATCAACTTTTCACCAGAATTTTAATATTCCCTCACCTAACGTGCATTATTAAAAGAAAAATAACTTCTAAAATTAAATTCTATGAGATGATTGTGGTCAAAACTGTTGTATGCTTACTTGGCAATACTTGAAAAGACCATGCTTGTGGACATAAGGATAATTTGAACCTGAAACACAAATAATACGTAAATAAAATAAAAACATCCTATAGATAAAATGAAAAATAAAAAAAAGAATTTTTTTTAGATAAAATTTTTCTAAAATACTATTTAGACTTGTTAAGGAAAGAAAAAAAAATTAAACCGTACTTTTTTTTGGAAAAACACAACTAAACGAAATGAATATATACTCATCTCCCTAAAGACCAATGTCGTGCCAAGAAACTCTCAGAAAAGAATAAAGAGGATTTTAAATAATTCAGTTTTGTATATGGTGAAATACAGTGTGGTTAGAGTTTTGAACTCGAATGGACCGCAGATGAAAAATGTCGCCAAAGGGGGTTACGCGGTAGCTTTCTCCTGATAAACGTTTAAAAAGCGAGAAAAGTCACTCGGGGGTTTTATGAGCTTGCCAGTTTCGTGCTGCACGCCAGCACTTTAATTGCGTTTCTTACTACTAGTCTACGAAGTTCAAACGAACATCAACACACACATTTTCTGCTAGATATATACTATATAGTGTTCTAAAATACCACGTTACAAGTTTTAACGCTCTGTCGCTTCTCCTCTTTATACGACAGTTGTTATTATCTTCATTATCAAACAGAATATTCCACATTGGTATTGTATTCATTATATTTATGTAAGAAGAACAAAATGATAAATAATTCTTTATAGATTCCAAATAATATTATGACTCATTACTAAAATTGAGTGTACGTTTTAAAATTTTCTTGGTTGTACTTCTCAGCTATTGTGTTTAACTGATTGATTAAAAGATGATGGTAGAATGTGACTCAAGTCTGCAGTCATTTTTCGAAGTGCTGTAATTTTGTTTGGTAGTGCTTCTTTATCGAGTGTACTCCAAAATATTTTTTGGTGAACATCTGAGCTAATATTTATAGATTGTAAAATTCTGACTATTTGTTAAAATCGAGTGTACTATTAAAATTTTCTTGGGTGAATTTCTGAGCTACTGTGTTTAATCGATTGACTAAAAGATTATGGTAAAATGTGACTCAAGTCTGCAGTCATTTTTCGAAGTGCTGTAATTTTGTTTGGTAGTGCCTCTTTATTGAGTGTACTCCAAAATATTTTTTGGTGAACATCTGAGCTAATATTTATAGATTGTAAAATTCTGACTCATTGTTAAAATCGAGTGTACTTTTAAAATTTTCTTGGTTGAACTTCTGAGCTATTGTGTTTAATCGATTGACTAAAAGATTATGGTAAAATGTGACTCAAATCTGCTGTCATTTTGCAGAGTGCTGTAATTTTGTTTGGTAGTGCTTCTTTATCGAGTGTACTCCAAAATATTTTTTGGTGAACATCTGAGCTAATATTTATAGATTGTAAAATTCTGACTCCTTGTTAAAATCGAGTGTACTTTTAAAATTTTCTTAGGTGAATTTCTGAGCTATTGTGTTTAATTAAAATAAGTAGATTGGAAATTACGATTCGTTGCTAAAATCAATTGTACTTCCAAAATATTCTTTGGTGAAAATCTGAGCTAACGGTTTTAATTAATATTTATAAATTGAAAAATTACTACTCATTGTTAAAATCGAGTGTACTTTTAAAATTTTCTTGGGTGAACTTCTGAGCTATCGTGTTTAATTAATCCTCCTTTAATTTCTTCTTTATTTTTTCAATAACTTCGATGTGTTTGGCATAATATTTCCTTATTGAATTTAATAACAGAATATCCATTTCCCAAATGAAACATTCTAACTTCTCTAAACTTTTCTAACCAGGTGAACGAAAATTATCCTTATCCTTGAGTCCTTTTTCGAATTTATATAGCCGAGTCTCCACTGAGACAGTTGAAATATTAATTGAATTTTGTCTGGCTGGTGCGGTTTTCTTTGCTAATGCTTCAATTTTTTAGATCCTGAAGTTTTTAAAAAATTTGCCAACGAAGAGCAAATTCATTATAAAAATTCTTGTGGTCATAGCTAACTAAAAATGCCGTTAGTAATCATAGTGATTATTTAAAAAAAAACATTTATACCTATCACTGAAGTTTAATTCCTGAATTTATTTAGTAAATAAATTCCTCAACAATACCACGAATAATACTCAACGATATTATAATATTTTCCTCCATGATCATGACAAATATTTTTTTTAAATAATTCATGAATAAACATGAATGTCCTTTAATGTAAATGGATGTACAATACCGTATGTCACGTATCAATTAAAAAAAAAAAAATATTGTGGATACCTTTTGTTTTGGTAAATTTCCGCTGTCAGCTTTTTCAGGATAGTAAATCCTGTGAAAGTGATTTTTTACGCTGAAAATAAGCTATCGTATTTTTTTTTTAAATCGTAAATTATATTTTATGTGCTTGTATTGTTTATGCCTTCGCCATTGGAATTTCTTTATAGGAGTTATAAGACACAATGTTTGACATTTCACATAAAAAAGAAAATGTAATTAAACTCACTAGTTGTTGTAAAGTTTTTTGTGATATAAAACATTTCTTATAAGCTTATGTGATATCGTTAAAATGTGTAAACTAATATTTTTAAAGCTAAACAAAATTCTGAATGTTTATCCACTCAGAAGAGAATTTTATCATGATTTGTTATTTTTTCGATATCACAGCAATGAAACATACCATGAAGCGTGTTTTGGCTAAAATCACTGCGGCTTGTTATCCCAGTTGAACAGTTGTATGAGAGCTAGAAACTTTATAGATGGATTTATGAGGGAAAATCCTTGTATCTATTGTGTCAAACACAGAATATTTTGTTTTTTTTTAATTTTTACTTTAATACATCGAATTCTCATTTATCAATAACTAGAAAAACATTCTACAGATAGTTTATTAATTTTATTGGAAATTTTTATTTATTTTCTATTGAATTTGCAAGAAAAAAAAAAATAATTTATTAAATTATTTTCTTTTCTCATAAAATAAACTACAATAGTCATATTAAAACTATTAAAATAACTGCCAAGAGTGAAGTTTGTTGAATTTTCACTCACATATTAGAAAAGTTTATCCGTTAGCTGTGAAACTTCCTAAATGTATTCCACAAAATGTTTCGCCCATTGAAATTAAATATTCTCAGATTTAATTTGTTGAATTTAATTAGTTGATCCTGTTTTCAAAACTAAAACTTCTTATAAATTTTCATCTTTTGGAAAAATATTGCTTTTTTAAAGGATTTGCAAACTTATTTCTCACGCACAAAAAATAAGTGAATCTAAAAATTTTCCTTTCTAATTTATTTAATTTAACAGTTCTTTTTTTTGTATTTTCGTAGCTGAGATCTGATAAAAAAAAGAATACAAACATATATAAAAATAAAAATATTAAAAAAATAACAAAGAATCGATTAATAATAAAATAATAAAAATGAAATTTATTTTTTATTGGAGTACAATATGGCACGAACCGAAGTTTCATTTATCAGAGAACAACAAAGAGTGCACTCGTCGTATGACATGTCTGTTTCATATTTCATAACTCATTTCTATAACAGAAACTGTGTTTGTATCTTGAGTTACTTAGATTTTTTCTATTATTAACCAACTCGCGTGACGTGAAATTCCCAGGGGTTTTAGCACGTTATACAGAGACATGTAATTCGACATAAGAAGTGCACTTTCATAAAGACTAAAAAGATAAATTGAAAAAAGAATTTTCTTGTTAAAAAAAAAAAAATTTAGAAATTAAATTGTTGTTCACTATAAATTTTGTTCATAAAAATCGATTAAAAAAAAATTTTTAAACCTGAATACAAATTCGTAATCATAGTCTGATGGTAAATGAAATAACGTTATTTTACACAGTTGATAAAATTATTTTCATCGGGAAAAAGCTTTTAATATTTGATCTTATTGATTTAATTATAAATTGCATTATTTCTCAGCTTATAATTCTTAGATGCATTTTTCATTGAAGGCGTCTAGACACATTAATGATCTGACATTTTGAAATTAGACATATCAAATATATCACTATTGTTGGAATAATCAGACTCAATCTTTCCTATATCAGAATAATTAATTTTAGAGATTAAATTTCAAATTCTAAAAATTTAATATTACAATATTTTATTTCTAAAAAAAAAAATTGTCTGCAATTCAAAAAGAGGAAAAATATTAGTAAATTTGTCATTTCCCGAAATATTTGTTGGAAAAATAAAAAAAAAAAGGGGAAAAACATACACGACAAAAGCAAACGTATTCGTTGATTCGCGAGGCACTCGACGTTCTCAAAGTGTCTAGCCGACAAAGGACGAAAATCGTCTTTTTAAATTCACCCAAGGCTCTTAAATTCTGGAAGTGATCCAAGAAAAACGTTTCTGCCATAGTGGAAAAGGAATATGAAAAGAATTCGATCTACATAGCATTTTTAGATGATTGTGTACCTGACACGAATTATTTTATTGTTAAAATTGATTTGACGTAATCTAAAGATTTTTATTTAGCATTTATTAATTTTTGTCCTTAACAAAAATTGTGTAATTTTATTATGACTCTAATTTCAATTTTCAGTTAAATTCAAAGTGGAAATGAAAGTCTAACTGAAAGTCGATACGAAAATCAAAATATCATACAATTGCAACGTAGAATTGATAAAATTAAATTTGAAATTATAAATGTAATATAACTCCAGTTTGAATAACAATATCGAAGAAAATTCTGTATATAAAACTCTTTGCATCTTTTATGAAACAAGAAACGTGCTTTAAACTCAACTTGTTGTGGAACAAGAAATGGAAAGCTAAAACAAACTTTCTTTATTAAATCAAAGCTTGTGGCTCTTCTTCGATGTAAACGATCTTCCTCAAGTAGCTCATACTATTCTATAGTTTACAATCATTTTCTTCTTGAAGATAACACTGTTATTATATCCATAGAATATTTCCTAGTAGCACCTAGTAGAAAAGCAACTTTGAATTAATTTTCCATTGTTTATGTAAATGTTTACAACTTTTTTTTTCAAATTAATAACCTTGAATTTTTTTCTTTTTAGTAAATATGGAATAAA